TCAGTTCACATAATTTCCTCCAGGTTCACTGATGTTGTCACAAATGACTGAGTTTCCATTTTTAAAGCTGAATAGTATGCCATTGTGTTTATATCACATTTTCTTTATCCATTCATCTGTCAGTGGGCACTTAGGTTGGTCGACTCCTACCTTGGCTTTGTGACTAATGCTGCAGTGAATGTGAGAGTGCAGATGGATCTTTGACATACTGATTTTACTTTCCTTTGGATATATACCCAGGAGGGATTGCTAGATCATATGGTAGCTCTATTTTCAATTTTTTGAGGAAGGTCCGTGCTATTTTTCATAATGGCTATCTTAATTTCCACTCCCATCAACTGTGCACAAGGACTCCCTCTTCTCTGTATTCTTGCTAATAGTTAATATCTCTTGTCTTCTTGGGGACAGCCAACCTAAGAGGTATGAGGTGATATCTCCTTGTGGCTTTCATTTGCATTTCTTGGGTGATTTGTGATGTTGAACTTTTTTTTTTTTTTAAATTTCAGAATATTACAGGGGTACAGATGTTGAACATTTTTTCATATACCTGTTGGCCATGAATATGTCTTCTCTTGAGAAATGTCTTTTGACGTACTCTGCCCAGTCTTTCTACTTTTTATTAGGTGAGTTTCAACTACTTATATTTCTTGATATGATTAATATAGTTGGCCTCAGGCTGTTATTTTAAAGTATTGTTATATGATTCCATGGGTTTTAAAAAAAATTTCACCTAATGATTTAAAAAAATCTTTATTTCTTCTGATATTTACAAAAGCTTTGTATATTCTGCTGGGAACCTTTGTAATTATAACTTGACCTAGTGCACTGTATCGTCTCTTTGTTTTGACACTATTATTTAACTTTTCTTATAAGAAATGACAATATTAGGATATATTGTTTTCCTTTCTGCTCTTCTACCTCTCTTTCACTATATAATTTTGATCTAAATCACTTTAAAAAAGTGATTATATGCTTTTTATTAATGGTCACTTTAGGTATACAAATTACTTACCATCTACCTATCATCTATCTATTGGTTTCAAATGATACCTACTGACTTTTAGCTATTTCCTCTGTAGTTCTATGACTGTCACTTCATGTAATTTGAAACTGCTTACTCACTTAGGATTCTTATATCTTCCTGCTCGGTTGATCCCTTTATTGTTACATGACAGCCCTCTTTATGCCCAGTGGTAGTCCTCATCCTGAAGTCCTTTCTTCCTCAATATTAACATAGTTACTCTGGCTTAAAAAAAAAATTAGTGTTGCATTCCTTTTCCTTGTTCTACGGTATGTAATATTTCCAATTTCTCTCACTACCTTAAGGTATTTATCTTGGGTTTTTAGCTGTTTGACTATAACTTGTCTAGTTTTTTCCAACTTCTGCTTGAGTTTTTCTGAAGTTCTTAGATTTCTTGTTTGTTGTATTATGTTAATTTTGGAAAATTCTTGGCCATTATTTCTTCTGTGTTGTTCTTGCTCTCTTCTTTTTTTAATGACTCCATTTACACATTTGCCAGATGATTCTATCTCATCCTAAAGCTTTTGGATTCTCTGGTCTGTATTTTAGTCTTTTTTCTCTTTTTGTTTTAATTTGAAGGTTTTCTATAGTCTATCTTCAAGGTCACTGATTCTTTCCTCAGCTGTGTTCAGTCTGCTAAGGCCATTAAAATAATTTTTTAATTCTCTTTTAAAATTTCCCTCTCTTTGGTGACATTTTCCTTACATTCATGCATAACATCCACCCTTTTCACTCTATCAATTAACTTATTAATTGTACGTATCTTATTTATTTTATTTCAGGTTAATATGGGTGTACACATGATTTGATAACATAGTCTGCTTTTGTAAGTTTAAAGGCAAGTTGTAGTTGTGTCCTTCATCCAGGAATTGTGCCATCTACCTGTGCAAGGTACTTGTTAGGTGGGAATTTACCCATCCGTTATGCCCCTCCTTGC